CTACACAGTCTGTAACCTCGCTGGGGTAAACTTGCCCGTAAAAGGGAGGAGAATAAGAAGCTGTACTCTGATACCTGAAGAGTCAGAGACTTAGTTGGCAAATGGTTTCTTCATTAAATGATTGGCCCCTTCAGTCCCCTCTCAGTTGTGGAAAGTTTCACAGCCCTAATGGGGATGGCAAGGTGAAAAAGGGAGGAGGAGGAAAGAAGAAGAGGGGGGACAGGAAGAACGAGAGGGGAGAAGGGGAAAGAAAGAAACGTAGCCAGTCTCCAGGACACAAGGTGTGATGATGGAGCTGACCAGAAAGATTGCAACATCCACAGAATCAGAGACACTGCCTGCTGGAGCACCACACCATGCATCCAGTCCAGGAGTTCCTCCAAACAGCAGCCACAGCAGCCCCTGGCTCGGTCCCATGTCACCTTTGCAGGTTTACTGACTGAGATGCAGCTTCCCCAGAAAGGAGACCATATATGGTCAACAAACAGCTCCTGGAGTACTCCTTGAGCATGCCCTCTCTCCCAGCTGACTATAGGGACCAGTAGATCCAGCCAGTCCCTTTCTCGAGGAGTTTACAATCTCCAGGGGAAGACAGCCATGTAAACAGCTAATGCTAATGCAAGTACACATGAATATTCAGTAGGTGGAAACAGCCTTCATGCTCTGGAAGCACAGGAGAAGCTTAGGCTGAAACCTTGAACATGGTGCAGGAGCAGAGGCAAAGGACATTCCTGATTAAGGAAAGGCATAAGCAGGGACAGGGGACATAATAAGGTACGGTGAGGCCAGCACCACAAGATCACAAGGACACAGAGATGAGTCTGGAAAGGAAATTTGGGATCAGCCCAGGGAGAGAGCCTTGGATGCCAGAATGAGTGGAATGCCCCTAGAGAGGAGGTTTGTGAACCCTGGGGAGTCCTACATGGAGTCAGTTGAGGAGACATCCTGACTCCCACCAAGAGAGGGAGCACCCTAGGCTCATTCTTCTAACGAGCAGCATCTTACCCTCAAAGGTTTACCAGCTTGACAGTTTCCAGTTTGCCATCCTCCCCTCCCCCAGGCAGCCCCATAAATGGATCCAGATGGTCATTCCTATTTTCGGTAGTGTAAGTGTTGGGGGAGGGGTGGCTCTGAACCCCATCAATCCTCAAACAAACTCTCTGTGTAAGAGGAGCTTCTTCCAGGCCCCGCTGTGATCTTCTGAGCCTGGGAGGCAGAGATAGTCTTTGATGGAGATTATCCATCTGGCTTGTGGGGAAAAGGGGAGACAGGCAGAGGAGGGAAGGACACAAGCCAGGGAGCCCTGGGTGAGAACAGAGGTGATGTGTGTAAGAGGAGGGGCCCTGTGAGGCGTTGTAGTGGAAGCCAAGCCTGGGAGACAAGCCCTCACAAGAGTCAGTGATGGAGCTGGCTTCTCTATACAGCTACATGACCTTCCTGTCCTGACTTCTGTAGCTACCCCAGGCAAAGCATGGATTGTGCAAGCTATAAATAGGAAGCTAGGGCTCTCTTGGTACACAGTACTAAAGCACCATGCCCACCAGCCTTTAGGAAACCTTTAAAAGGTCTAGGAGCACAAGAAAGTAGCAAGTGATAAGCTAGGTCTGGTCCCTTTGCTCAGACAATCTGTTACCAAAATATTATGCCAAGCCTGTAAGTATTTGTTACGGATCTGGTTTAGTGAACATTGGTTAAAAACCACTAAGCACTATACTAGCTAGGCACTAGGTTTATAGAAATGGAAGGCAACCATTCCTGAAATGGCTTTTCGTCAGCTGAGGAAACAATACATTGCTCTAAATGCACTCTGAGGAAAAGGGATGTTCCAGTGGAGAGTGAAAAGGGCTTTCAGACCGGAAGCCAAAAATCAGCTGTCTGGGGTAATGATGTCGCATCTAAGTCTGGAAGAATAAGTAGATGTTAGTTTAAGTGGGAAGATTGGTCTATTAAAGGCAGGGATGGGGTGTGTGCCATACTCCTCAGGATGAAGGGATAGTACTTGTGGGAGGAACCGATCAGATGTTAGGGTAGCCATAGTATACGAAGTAAGAAATAGACACAGCCTTATAAGTTACAGCATGGTATGTATTTGTATCTCACACTGAGTGCAAAGGGAAACCACTGAAGTCTGTCAGATTAAATGTTTTTTGTTAATACTGCCAACTCTGTGGCAGACCCCCAGAGACTTACTTTGGTTCTTTGCTCATCCACACATACAATCAACGATTAAAAGGCATACAAATTGCCAGTGTTGGTAAAAGAGTATCAAAGATGCACTGAAGAAGTTACACACAACTATGATTGGATCAAGCACTAATGTGACTTACTCATCTGACAACTATATAGCAGGCCTTTAATCTATTCCGGATTGTCCTAGAAGCTAGTTGCTGCCCTTCAGGGTTCACACTGCACGTGGTCATTCATAAGAGGGGTACAAACATGCTCAAAGAATTTTGAATGGATTAGAATTAGCTTCAGCTAGGATACTAATGAGATATTTAAAAGATATGTAAATTGAGAAACATTTAGTAAACATCCAATAGACGTGCATAGTTCTTGGAGCATCTGCTCTGCAGTAGTAGCAACTGTACTACCTAGTGTAGTCAAAGACCTTTGGATTTTCCACAGGATAATTTTTTTTTTTTAATGCATTTAAGTATTGGAACAGAAGGCTTTTGGCAGGTTACCATTAAAGAAGAGTAATTTCATGGAAGCAGATCTCCTCAAAGGCATAGCTTTCCACCTTCACTAAACATTGTCCACACCTTCTGTTGGTTAATAGCCTCCAGTCATGAGGAATTGAGTCTGGCTGTACTAGGCAATAGCTTTTAGCCAGAAAGAATTGCTTAGCCCCGGCTTGACAGACAGGTCTGCTTCACCTGCAGAAACAATGTGCCTGAGTATGGAAAACAACCCACTCTGGTCCCAGTCAAACCACAAAAAAAGAGCTGTAACTTCCTGATACACACACACAATAAATATATATATATATCCAAATCCCCTAGGCCTGCTGTTCCTCCAATAAAGCAGTCTCAGCCTGTTGAAACAATCTGTCTGCCTCTCTGCCTCATTTTTCTTACACCTTCCTGTAGCCTGATTCCCTTCTTGTCTTCCAAACCCATCCGCCCACTTCTCACCTCATAACATTCCATATCCCTCTGAAAATCAAAAGATTCCAAGATTGGAGCCTGGCTGCTCTATGTTCTTGAGTGTGATCTTAGACAAGCGCTAACTGCCAAGTTTTCTATTAAACAAAAAAGGACATGGCTTAGTAATGCACCCTTTTAATCCCAGCACTTGGGAGGCAGAGTCAGGAATTCAGGGCCAGCCTGATCTACATAGTGACAGAGCTACACAGTGAGACCTTGTTTCAAAACAAAAACAGACATTGTTAGTATTCTGTCTAAACTCCACCTCCACAGTTACCTGGCAACAGACAGGTATGCTCCTCCCCACAGTTACCTGGCAACAGCCAGGTAGGCCTGCCCACTATAAAAGGGGCTGCTTGTCCCCCCCCCTTAATCTCTTGATCTCTTGCCTGTAGCTTCTCTCTGCCCCCTCCCC